AATTATTCTCACGAGTACAGCCCACACATTAGGAAGGGCTTTATCTATGCAAAATATTTTTTTGTCTGGTGAAAATGGCATGATGCCATTTGTAACCTTAGGACTCTGGCCGGGACCCGGAACAAAATGTGTACACACCAGAAATCAAAGGAAATAATAATAATAATAATAATAATAATAATAATAATAATAATAGCAAGTATAATATTTAAGCAAACATAATTAAAATATCTGGGAAGTGCTTTAACAGAGGACAGGAAGTGCCATACTGAAATCCAAAGGTACATTGGGATAGCAATCGTATTAAGAAGCAGGAAGATTGGATTAGAAACAAAGAAAAGAATACTGAAATGTTCCTTAATATCAGTCATCTTATATAGCAGCGAATACTGGGCAATCTCCTCAAAGATAAAGAGGTGACTTGAAACAACAGAAACGTGGTACTACAGAAGGATGCTGAGAATGCCATGGACCGAATCTGTAAGCAACGACGAGGTTTTAGAGAAAATGAAAACAAAAAGGACACATACATAGCTTCAGAAAAATAGAGTTGAATACAGTTTCTGGGGCACATAATGAGAAAAGATGGCTTGGAAAATCTGACACTCAGGACAGATTGAAGGGACAGAGGAAAACCTACCCAGCGGCTTTGGGTAAATGGACGGCAGACCAAGGTTTAGGAGAGATAACAAAAAGTTAACATTTATTAAGTGCATCAAAGAACAGAAGATTGTGGAGAGCCATAATCGCCCACATCGTCCTGATGTGACACTGCACATAAAGGTAGAACCACTTATATAAGCCACAGCGCATTTTTTAGCCATTTTGAGGTGCGTCTTATAAAATACGATAATTTAATTTTTATGAATGTTTTACTATACTAGCCGAATTACCTGCACCTTGCTGGATGTCACACATTTCTTTTGTAAGAAAATGATGATTGATTTTAAATCATTGTTAGAATTTGTGGAAAAAAATGATGCATTTCACTATTACTCAATGATCTTGCCAATATGACCTCCATCTTCTGGCTTTCTCCTTCTATATTTTGGATAGGAATCATTCCCTTCTATATTTTGGATAGGAAACATTCCCTTGTTCAAATTTAAATTTGAAAAAAAATCATTGGTGGGTTTGTCCATCCCCCGGGACATCCTTTGATCAAAATGAAATATACTGACTAAGTACCCTAGGTGTCATTCCCTCGTTCAAATTTAAATTTAATTTATATCAAATGGAAAATAATTTTCAGTGGGAGGTTGTGCTTTCCCCCAGGAATACCCTTTGATCAAAATAAAATATACTTATTCAAGTACCCTGAATTTGAATATTGGTTATGGGTGTCTATCTCCAAAACTCTAGGAGGATTTCGATAAGAAACAAACAGATAGAGGTTACAACTTTATACGAGGGTCATTCAATAAATAAGGTGAATTTTTCAGTATAAGGACTTCTAATACAGATAGAAGCTTACTTTTTTTTATTATTTTTTTTGTTTTACTTCTTTTTCACATGGATTTAATTTCTTTTGCAGATTAAAAAATATAACTTTGATAGTTTTGGCGATTAACAAAGATGGCCGATCAAGAAGCATGCTCCAGGATTGAACAGCGGTCAGTTATCAAATTTTTGGTTGCTGAAGGGTGCAAACCAGTTGAATTCCATAGGAGAATGTCAACTGTGTATGGTGCCACATGTTTCAGCCAAAAAATGTCTACAAGTGGGCTAAATTGTTTAAAGAAGGACGGAGCAGTGTTGAGGATGAAGACAGGCCTGGGAGGCCTACAGAAGTGATGTCTCCTGAGGTGATCGAATCAGTCAATGACCTTATTCAGTCTGACAAAAGAACTACTGTGAACTGCTGAGGCAGGTCAAGAAAGACATAAAGAACAAACGCAGGGGTCATCAGTCAGAAGGTGTCATCTTGCATCATGACAACGCAAGGCCTCACACAGCAGCCCAAACGGTGCAGACCATCAACGAGCTGGGCTGGGAACTGCTCCCTCATCCCCCTTACAGCCCAGACCTTGCCCCTTCAGACTTTCATCTGTTTGGTCCCTTGAAAGCGTTCACGAGAGGCACGAAGTTTAAAAGTGACGATGAAGTCAAAAGTGTTGTGAGCGACTGGCTGAGACATCAGTTCAAAGATTTTTACGCTGAGGGAATACGGAAGCTTGTGCACAGATGGGAAAAGTGTGTGACAGTGCTGAGAGACTACGTTGAAAAATTAAAAAAAGTATTCTATCTGTATTAGAAGTCCTTATACCGAAAAATTCACCTTATTTATTGAATGACCATCGTATATATACATGAAGGATATTTTGAGTTAGGCATTTCTTCGTCACCTTTTATAGAATCATCTAAGAGAGTTACACAATTCGCCCGCCCCACCCGTGATAAAGATGCGAGTTTTAACTCAGAAGAAAATTGAGTGCTAATATTCAAGTTTCCAATTTAGTCATGTACCCAACAAAGATAGAAATAATGAAACAATAAAAAAACTGAATTGTTATACTAGGCAAATGTGGTGTAAAAGCAGAGGGAGACACTAGGTTCTTCGACATTAAAGCAGGGGTCCTCCATGGTGACACCCTTGAACCTTTTTTTCTTTGTTATCACCCTTGACTATGTATTGAGAACTTCCCCCGACAACCATCATTATCTAAATTTTAATTTATCCCCAAGACTCTCAACTCGATATACTGCAAAAAGTATATTGACTATCTATCACTGCAGGCACCATTAACAATGCCAAAATTCTTCTCCATCATATATAGGGTGATTGAAAAGTAACCCCCTATTTTATGTAGGAGCCTTGACTTAACATCACGTAACATTTTCTTTGGGTTTGTTTAAAGTAGCAAGTTTATTATACCAAACTAAGACTTTGGGTGAACTTTATGGACGAATACAAGAAGTTACGTCTTCCATACCACGGTGAAATCAGTTGACGCGATTTCTGGGCAGCTCATTAAAATGGCAGCAAAACCTGGTGGCCATATTGGATTTTAAATGAAACATCAAGCTAAATGCTTTCCTCACATACACATTTTTGTAAAAATTATAGTTAATAAATAATTCATTAGCATTTTAAAATGGGGAGTTACTTTTCAATCACTCTGTAGAAAATGCTGCTAACAATGCTGGTCTCTAAATCAAAATTGAATACATGAACTTAAATCAGAAACAATCAATAAAATCTGTCGAATCTTTTACATAGATAGGAAGCGATATAAATTCTACTGAAAAGGATTTGAAAATTCGCATCGCGAAAGCCTAGGCCGCCTTGTATAAAACTGATGCAATCTGGAAATCTGATCTACTAAACAACTTGAAATAGAGATTCTTTCGTGCCACTGTCGATGTGGTGTTAATATATGGTGCCCCTATTAGGATATTAACTAAAACCCTAGAGTCTAAGCTTGATGAAAACCTATACTCAGATGCTAAGAACTAAACTCTAGAGTCTATGTTTGATGAAACCTATATTCGGATGCTGAGAGCTATACTTAAATCTCTTGGAGACAACATCCAACTAAATCACAGTTCTATGGACCCATCACTGATTATTTCTGCAAAAGTAGAATGTGCTTTACAGGACAATGCTGGTGAGCTAAACAAGAACTTACGAGTGATCTGCTGTTCTGGGAACATAGCCTTGATTGGTCACAGGGCAACCACCTACATTGACCATTTATATTATGGCACAAAATGCCAAACGAATGACTTTTCGATCTTGATGCAGGACCGTGAGGGTTGGTGTGATAAACTCATAAATGTCCGAGTTTTCTTGATAGAATGAATAAAATTAGCAAAGAACAAACGACAATAGAATCTGAATTAAAAGTGAGAATTGCAGATTTAAAAAAAAAAAACAAACGGACAAAAAAAAAAAAAAGAAAAAAGAAAAAAAAGTATGTGAAAAGATGAAGGGAAATGCACCAGAGAAATCCCAGGGCGAAGAGAAATAATGAAAGAAGTCTTTCAGAAACTAAGCAAAGTACTAAGAGGTAGGAAAATGTCCACAGAAAGAAATAAAATTGTTAGACAGTCTCTTTGCAGATAAAAACAATAAAGACGTAATTCTATTGACGAATGCTGAATGAACAAATGATACCTGATATGATCAATAAAGAAGTTTTAAGAAAAAAAAAGAAGAAGAAAAAGATAGTCGAATTTTTCGGGATATAAAATGAGGAAAGAAAGCTTAGAGAATCTAACACGCACAAGGTATACTGAAGGCAAGAGACGAAGAGGGAAACAACGAGTAATCTAGCGAATAAATTTGGGTGGATAGAAGGCATAGCTGGACCAAAGAGGGGCGGTAAAGGCGCAAAACATACTTAGGGTTATGGAGAGCCATGATCGCCTAAGAGGCATAATACAAAGAAAAAGAAGAATTAAAAAGACAAAAAAAAAACAAGAAAAAGAAAGAGAATATTGAATAAAGTTATAAATATGAATAAGCCGTACTGTCATTGAAGGTTAAGCAACGTCGAGCTTGGCCAGTAACTAGATGGGTGACCGCTTGAGAATATCAGGTGCTGTAAGCTAGGATGTGCGGATGGCGTAAGGGATAATGGCTCAGAATTGTTCATCAGAGAGCAGAGTTCTAATTTCATTTGGATTTTTTATATTCCCTGCCAGGAAAATATCATTGGGAAAAGTATGAATCCATTTCTTCTCCCCAGCTATGGGTTAATTAGTAAGACGAAATCATTATTATCTCAATAAAAATGTCTTAAAATCTAAAAATATTTCCTGGCTTTAAATAACCTGCAAAGGGTTGATAAGCCGTAGAAAACGAATCAATCTAATAATTTCAAAGCGTGAAAGAAAGAAAATATAAAAAGGAAAAACATGAAAAAAGTTGATAATGAATTAAACAATTAAAGTGAGCCAAGAAATAAATGAAAGTAGAAATGAAGAAAGGAAAAAGAAATAAAGCTTTAGTTTCAATCGGCCAGTTTCGAATAAATGAAAGAAATAGAAAACCCGTATCAAAAATCAGAAAGAAAACTTTTGTAAGAATAAATTCCAAGAGGAAACGAAAAAGGTGGATTAAAATTAAAGTAAATAATCAAGAAATGACGAAGAAAGAAAAACAAAGGAAGAAAAGACAGGAAAAACTGAAATGAAATAAAAGAAAAAAGAGAAAGAAAAAAATGTCGAAAAAGGAAAAATAATGTAAAATGGCGACTAACGACAGAAAAGAAAAAAACATTAAAAAATAATAAAGAAAAAAAATAAATAGATACAAAAAAAGAAAGAAAGAAAAACAAAGAAAGTGTAAAGAGAATGTAGAATAAAAGGAAACATGGAAAAATAAAGGAAGTATAATCTTTGGGAAGAGAGACTAAAAAGAAGGAAACGAAAGTAAGAATTAAATAGAAAGAAAAATGAAAGACGTCAGGCATACAGAAAAGAAAATAACGGGGAAAGAATATAAGTGAATGAGGCAAACAAATTGATAAAAACAGAAATAAAAGGAAAGAAAGAAAGAAAAGAAGAAAGAAAGGAACAAAAATTAGAACGACTAAAACAAAGGACATTTTAAAAAATATGAGATGAAGCGTGAAAGAAAGAAAATAAAAAAAAAAGATCGAAAAATATAATAATGAAAGAAAACAATGAAAGTGAGCCAAGAAAAATAATGGAGCTAGCAATAAAGAGAGGAAAAGGGAGAAAAAAAAACATTTGTTTCCAATTGGTCGGTTTCGAATAAACATGACGAACGATCAGTAATCAAAGTAGAGAAAAATAAATGAATAAATGAAGGAAGGAAAATAAACGGATTTGTATAAAAATAAAGAGATTCAATGAAACGAAAGAAGCAAGACCAGAAGAAGGAAAGCTGAAATAATGAAAGATAGCAGACGACAAAATAGGAAGATAGAAAGGAAAGTAAAGAGAAGAGGAGAAATTGAGGTTTTGAAAGAAGAATGCAATTAACCATTGATTGCTGACGTAAAACACTATAACAGAGACATTTTTTATTGTTGTAGCGAGGCTGATTTCGAAGTGTTCGCCCATCACATAATGCAGACCCTAACCGGAAAGAGTACGAAAGAACTTCCGGCCAGGCTTGCATCTTTTCACTTACACATCGACCTTACACCCTCTGGAAACTAACATATTGCATTTGCGTCGTCTTCTTTCTTCAAACGATTTTGACAACTTCCGCCATGCTCCGTCTCTATCGATTCACACCATTCTATTCAGAATAAAATGAAACAACAAAACAAAATATCGGCATTGAATTGAAGTTGATTAAATGTCTGTATTAATTTAAAATGAACAACTGTGCTGGCCTTGATTGTTTTCTTTTGTGAAAGGAAAGTTGAAATACATTTTAATCCTCGTGGTTATTAAAGATTTTATAGCTATCTTTCGAATGTACAAAAGTATATCTTCTTCTTCTTCTTCTATGTGCCGTGTCCGCTTGGGACGTAGGCGATCATGTCTCTCCACAATTTCTTGTACTTAGTAGCTCTTAATAAATCTTGTTTGTTTGCTAAATCTCTTAAACCCCGTCCCTCCGTCAATCTACTTAAGCTCGCTGGGTAGGTTATTATTTTCCTCTGTGCCTCATGCATTCAGTCTGTCTTGTGTGTATCAAATTATCCAAGCTCTCTATCCTCATTATGTGTCCTACAAATTTCAACTGTATCTTTCTGTATGTGTCCTTTTTGTTTCCATTTTCTCTAAAACCTCGTCGTTTCTCACATGTTCGGTCCATGGTATCGTCAAAATCTTTCTGTAGAACCAGATTTCTGTTGCTTCAAGTCTCTTCATCTTTGAGAAGATTGTCCAGCATTCACTGCCGCATAGAAAGACTGAGATTTCTGTCATAACGCTGTTTTGCCAACCTAATGATATTAATAATAATAATAATTATCTGTTGCTAAAGAAAAACACTCCGACGATAATCTTGTGTCGTCCTGGAAAGTACAAACAACAGGACTTGAAGATATATCCAATTGTCAAGTCTGGCCACCCTTAGAGAAGTTAGCCGAAATTTCTGTTCCGTCACCAAATATTAGAAGTGGGTTGGGAAAAGAAGAAGAAGAGAAAAAAACTGTAAATATTTTTTTTTATTTTGATATAAACATCGTCTATTTTATTTTTCAATTTTGTGTGCACGAATTCAACTCCTGATAATTCGGCTTGATCCTCTTAAGATCAAAAATCACAATGTGGGTAACAGAGGTCATATTTGAAGAGGTCAACTTAAAGACCAGCTGCTGCGTCAAACGCCATCAACGACCGATGAGTGTGGGCTGACAGCTTGTTCTCCAATACTAGGATCGATCCTTACCAAAGACAGCAGGCCGTGCCCCGGCTACGCCGCTATACTATTTTCTTTGTTTCTAACGCAATTTTCCTGTTTCTTAATACTATCACTATAGCAAAACGCCTTCGGATTTCAGTGCCACATATTTTCTCCCCTGTTAAAACATTTCCCAGATATTTAAATTGTTGTACTTGTTTGATTTTTGTATATCCAATTTGTAATTTGCATGTTGGAGTGTTCATTTGGCAAACCGCCATGCATTCTGTCTTCTTGCACTTGATGTTTAATTCCTTTTTCTCGATTTCCTTATTACCTTCTGTAGGAAGTCTTATAGTTTCCTTTCTGTCTCTACTATAAATACTCTGGCAGCTGCATATCTTACATCATTAAGATTGTCGCTGCCAATAATGAATCCTCTTAAGATTTCTAATTCTCTTAGAGACGCTTGAATATGTCCGGTGAGAAGACACCTCCTTGTCGTACTCCCCTTTATATTTTTGTATATTTACTGAATTAATTTTCTATCCGTGTGCAGAGGATTTGCTCCCAGATTTTGAATTATGTTAATATCCTTCCCAAATATATAAGGTTTACCACCATAAACTACATTCACGTCCTGAGTAAGACGATGAACTACATCCAACAGCAAGGCCTCTGATCAAGAGGCTTCGAGGAGTGTATAAACACCTTTTAGTTGCTGTTGTTTCCAGGTCCACCTTGACCCGGGGTGGTAGCACCTGTTAGGGTCCCAGCTATGGACAAATAGTTAACCCTCAAATTTGGTCAAAACACTATAAAAGTGTAAAAATAGGTTTTAATACCAGCAATACCTTTTTGTAAAAAAAATTACATGCAATAATTTTTGAAGAAAAAATTATTACATATTACATTACCAGCAATTCATTTTTACAACATATATATATATATATATATATATATATATATATATATATATATATATATATCTTGAGGATGAACTGGAACTAATGTCTTTAATTTAATTACAAAATTAAATTCAGAGCTTTTAGCTTCCATTTTTGAAACATGGTTAGAACTGTGTAGCGAAAAAAAAACATATTTTAAATCAATTAATTTATATATATATATATATATATATATATATATATATATATATATATATATATATATTACCGACAACAAAAAATTTTTATCGGTATTAAATAACCCATTGAGGTTGATATACCGTAAGACAAAACAAGCGAAACGAAACCATCAAGGTTACCTAGGAGTTTACCTAGGAGTACCAACTCTTCTTTGTGACGTTCTTTATAAAACACCTTTGCTTAATCTATGAAACAGATATACATCCATTTGCAATTCTGCTCCTTTTTTTCTGAAATCATTTTGAGCATAAATATCGCTTTCCTTGTTCCAGTTTTTGCCTTGTTTCCGGTCTTGCGCGTTTATCAGAATTCGGATGATGAGTTTTGTTATGTGCTGCATTCGGCTGATTGTCCGATCGAATTCACATCCGTTTGCACCTGGATTCGTAGACAAACCTAAGCAAATATATAACTTAAAAAAAAAAGAAATCACTACGAAACAGGTGATAAAATTGCAACCTTTTCTTAATTATTAATTGGCAATTTATATTAGGTTAGAAATATTAGGTTGAGTCATAAGTAATTTCAATTTTCAGATACCGGTTTTAATGACAAATGTAGCATCCTAACTAACTGCGTTTTAAATATACTATTGTCGTATGTAACTTATTTTTTTATCATGTGGATGAAACATGATATCATACGACAATATTCGGCACAAAATGCAGTGTATTTAAAAGGATAAACCCACACAACAGACCCCAAAATCTGAGCTCCATCGAAGCAAGGTAATGTTTGAAAAATAAAATATTGATTGCTTAAAAATGAAGTCCTAGAATTCTTACATTGATTACTTCAATTGATTACTTAAAAAAGCCCTCACATATTTTTCCGTTTTATTTTATACCCTGCTTACCATAGATCATCTGAATATTTTTAATCTCTTAGATTCTGATGAAACAACTATATTTTTTCATTCCCTTCTTTCTATTTTAAAGATATCCCTCTTTGGTTAATTTCCAGTGACACAGATATTTCACTTGAAAACATTTTGCCCTAACATCATTTTTTTTCATTATTCGGAGTCGAGCAATCCTGTTAAATTCTTATCTGATCACGGAGTAACAAAATTGATTATCAATCAAGTTTCTTTTGGTTTGACCTATAAAGGAATGTTTGTGATAAATAGGAAACTTCCCCCGCCTGTTCCCCACCTGCTATCCTTATTGCGTTTCGTGCTGTTGCCTGGAGGCAGTTGGTAACTGATGGCTTTTATTTGCTGATGGAAGCATCAATTTCGGTGTTCCTTTGATCATTGGCTGATGAGGCTTAAGCAGATCGTTCCGTGTCAATTTAATTTTCGTGGCCGAAACGGTAAAAGCGCTGTCACGGATAGAAATAGGTCCCAAAGATGAGACATACAATCTCCTAAGTTAAAGAAACGCGTACACCGAGGAAAAACAACAATAACAGAGATAGAATGTTATGGAATAAATATATAAACATCAAAGGCTACTTATACTGAAACCAGACAGAAACCTATTTCTGAAAAATGGGTGGCTGAAAAGACTTAATATATATGCAATATTGATGTTCTTTGTTTTTGATTATGTAGCACCAGTCCATGAAGTTCTTAGAAGGATGATCCGACCTAAATGCTACAAGCTTTATTTGGTCGAAGGCACTTTTAAACATCGATCTCAGAGAGCGGTGGTGTACAGCTGACAGTTTAGATATTTCCGAATGTCTTCGGCGCCATATCTGACATTCTTATGTAAATCTCAAGATCTTTTAAGAAAATGACTCAAGATTTTAGATTAATGTTTTGATATTGTAGCTATTTGTAATGATGTGAGTAATTATCTCTAGCGCATACACCTTGTACTATGACCGAGACACGTTCTCGATCAATGCCCGCCATAAATATAGTATTAATTATAAATAAATGCAAAAATCAGGTTTTGATTATGGGTTTATAAAACGTGGTATTTGTAGGTTTCTGACCATGAGACCTGGGTTCGAATCTCACCATGGTCGATTTGTTAGGAGGATAATTTCTTGACGTTATCTGTCTGGAGGAAACGATCCCAGCATGCAGCGCGTTTGAAAAGTGCCTGAAGACCATAACACAGATTGATCCAAGCTTTGTGGGTGAAATTGGGTTGATGGAAGCCTTGGGGACCGTCGGTGGTTGTGCTAGCACGAAGTCATCGTGATCGAGGGTTTGCGTGTGCTGGCCTTGTTTAGACTGTAGATAACACTAGATAACGCGTTTTCTCCCAGAAACTGTAACTAATGTCCGCTCAGCATAGTTTCAGTATAAACCACAGGTGGGATCTGTGGATGTTGAACAAATTTACCTGAGCAAGCGTCTGCAATGTGGATTAGCTAACCGCCCAATATACTGACATCGTCGGATATGAGCAGATGCGCCATTTTTTTTTTTTACATATGGCACATTGGTATCCCCTTGTCGCATTGTGGGCCCAGTGAGAATTAATGCATTACTCGACCAATTCCTGAGCACCTTTGCTATTTGATTCGGATCTTTGTCTTGCAGGAAATCCCAGACATGAAAAATGGTCAAGATATTCTGCAGATCGAATTTTTTAATATCATTTCACCTCAAGCAAATCTATAATCCCACTAAGACACAAAGGGTTACAGGGGTTGAAAGACTATAAGACTTTAGTGAAGAGAAAGGTAAATAAAATAAAAGGTTTCAAGGAGACAGATGACTATTGATGTAGAATTTAAATTTTCGAAGATTGCAGGCGGTAGGGAAGCAAGACATCAAAAGGAAGTTCGACAGGCGAATAGTATGAGGAATAACTATTAGAATAGAGTATACGGTTGAATCAAGCTAGTCCGACCATAAAACGCTGAGACCTTGTAGTGTGTTTACATTCATGTAGTAGAGACACCAAAGAGGAAAGCAATTCAGAACAATTGCCATAAAAATATTTGTAGAAAAGACAGTGCAAAGCCACGTCACGTTTGGGAGAAAGTGAGTGATGTCGAGATGCCAGGTCAGGATCGATTATATGACAGGCACTTCATTGAATTTTATCAGGAATCATGAGATATATAGTAGGAGCGCAAGACGGGATAAGGTAGCATCATTCAATGCATGGACAAATGGTAGATTTATAAATACGCAAGATGGATTCTGACGAGATAAATCGTCTGGCATGAAACAGGGAAGCAACTTCCATACATGGTTTCTTCGGCGTTTTCAGATATTGTATATGACATATTACCTTGCCAATAGACTGATTATAAATCGTAGTAAATATTATCTTGCGAATAGACTGATTATAAATCGTAGTAAATATTACCTTGCCAATAGACTGATTATAAATCGTACTAAATATTATCTTGCCAATAGACCGATTATAAATCGTAGTAAATATTACCTTGGTAAGACACCGAATATAAATCATAGTAAATATTACATTGCCAATAGACTGATTATAAATCATAGTAAATATTACCTTGGTAAGAGACCGAATATAAATCGTAGTAAATATTAACTTGGTAAGAGACCGAATATAAATCGTAGTAAATATTAACTTGGTAAGAGACCGAATATAAATCGTAGTAAATATTACCTTGGTAAGAGACCGAATATAAATCATAGTAAATATTACCTTGCCAATAGTCCGATTATGAATCGTAGTAAATATTACCTCAGTAATAGACCGATAATAAATCGTAGTAAATATTACCTTGGTAAGAGACCGAATATAAATCATAATAAATATTACCTTGCCAATAGACCGATTATAAATCGTAGTAAATATTACCTTGGTAAGACACCGAATATAAATCATAGTAAATATTACATTGCCAATAGACTGATTATAAATCATAGTAAATATTACCTTGGTAAGAGACCGAATATAAATCGTAGTAAATATTACCTTGGTAAGAGACCGAATATAAATCGTAGTAAATATTACCTTGGTAAGATACCGAATAAGAATCATAGTAAATATTACCTTGGTAATAGACTGATTATAATTCGTAGTAAATATTATCTTGGCATTAAACCGAATATAAATGACAGTAAATGATATAATACGGAATGTGTATTTAATTCAAAAACTATTGGCGTGGAGACAGTCATCAATCTCGATAGTTGCGTTCGTTTTTTCCCTATTTCCCTTGGGAATGACATGAATGGTACTCTACACCTATCATCAAAGAATTTGATAACAGGGTAGATAGGTTTCCTCTGCCAAAACATTCGAGATAGCAACCGGATACCACTCTTTTAGCTTCCCATATAATCCATGATAATTCACGTCTTTACATATTCTTTCTTTAAATGATGTCGTTTTAAAATCCTACCTGGTCTTTTAGCTGAAAGACACCTCCCTGCACATTACGCCCTCCATTCATTAATGGCTTAATCATACTTTTCTCCAAACTAATAACACATCTCTGTATCTAGGAATTTTCTTTTTTATCTGTAGAGATAATTCCTAACCATTAATTGTCATTTTGGTGTAGTTGAGTTTTTGCAAGAGCTTGTATGAAAATTTGGATGACTTGGTGGGGAAAGGGAAAAACATACACTGCAATAATGGAGGCCACTTTTGTGCAATGTCTCTGGGGTTATTTACGTTGCTATGTGGATGCCATATTGGGTAGAGAGCATTGATCGTGATCATTGGATTTTTGTTGCCCTTGGGAAGTACTTTTATTGTCAGCCAGTATTGGATTCCGATAACGTTCCTTGAGATTTCTATTTTCTTCAATTTTATATACCTTGAGAAATTCTTCAACCGGGGGCACTGGCCCTTGAAATCGCTTTGGCATATTTTTATAGCCTTGAAACTGAAAGGCCATGTTGGGCAAGCTTAAGTTTTAAGGTCGCTTCTTTGAATTTTACCCATGATAAAACATTTTGTTGCTTACACGGTAGCGATAATTGTAATCTATTTATTTATAGACGACCAGAATGTTTTAGATTTAACAAAGGATTGTTTTTTTACGGCTTATCAACCCTTAACAGGTTATTGAAAGCTAGAAAATATATTTAGATTGTAAGAATTGTTTTTGGAGACAATAGTCGTTTAGTCTTAGAAATTAACGCGTAGCTTGGAGGTGGGAGTGTGATACTATAACTGCGTTGAGACGTGAAACTGACACTAACTATACAGTGTTGATTCCTATATCCACACTACAAATGTGTGTTTGGCTTGGTTGTTTTTGTTTAGTGGCATTTAATGCTGACATCGAAATATTTCCGATGAAATTTTATCTTTTTTATTAGGGGAAACAATAATGGTTTTACTGATACAAATCTTACTAATTAAGAATTAATTACTAATAGCTTGGGTAGAGGAGGTGGATTTATACCTTTTCCAAGGATATTTGCGCGTAAGTGAATATAACGACCCCAACTGGAATTGGGACTCGGCTCTCAGATTAACAATTCCGTGTCATTATCCATTTGTACCATCCGCACATTCAAGCCTACAGCATTTAGTATTCCCAAATGGTCACCCATCTAAGTAATTATCAGGCTCGACGTTGCTTAACTTCGGTGATCCTACGGGACCGTTGCTTCAACATGATGTGATTATAAAACAGAAATTTCAAATAATCTTTGGAATTTTCCTGAAGAGTATAGAAGTTTCGAAATATACAAGAATTAAGGAAGAATCAATTGTGTAAAATCTTATTCATTGCATTTTTTGTAATCTTTTACAATTTTGACACAGTTTTAACTTATCGAATTGTTATAGTGGAACACACCTATTCTATAGTTAATAGACACTCCCTCCTATAATAAGTAGGAGTAGTAAGAGTAACGAGAGAGTCGCGCAGTCGCTCAGTGAGTTGGACAGTTCGGTCAGTCGATGTCGAACGACAGTTAGTCGAATACTAAAGTATCAGCGACCACAACTAGATTACTCTGCATTATACCTATTATATCAAGTCCCTAACGTTTTGTACGTCGAACCTAATTTAGGACCGACTTAGTACAAATACAAGCCTCCACTGTGAAATCACTCCATAACACGAATACAGTAAAAAAAATGTATATTTTGCTTGTGGTGATTCATAATTAAAAGTCTGATTTTAATAGATTTTCTATTCAATTTATCTAGTATAAAAATACCAACTTTATATGAATTCATTCTTGAAAGAGTAAAATTTTGAAGTCAGTTTGTAAGTTTGGTTTGGTTTATTTTGTTTGACGGCACACCAACCTGAACAAGATTTTTAGAATAGATTCGTGTGAATAAAATATGTATTCTTTGTAAGATATCAATTTGTAGATCAGGTTTCATTGACGTATTTTTGTAAAGAGGGTTTTTGTCGAGAGTCATATATATTGCTGGTAATATTTTAAAAAAATGTATTGCTGGTCACTTTTGACGCCGATGTGGGGGTTAAATATTTGCCCATAGCTGGGGCCCTAAATGGTGCCAGCACCCCGAGTCAGGACGGATAAGGGCAGGAATTAAGAGGTGGTTATTCGACCCACAAAACGTCCAATCTTCCGATCAGAGGCCTTGATATCGGATATAGTTTGTCGTCATACTGAGGACAGCAGTTTATAAGTAAAAAAAAACCCTACGGAAGTTAGTTATTTTTGTTCATATTTCCAACGATCTTTAAAACCAAATGCTTTTTAAAAATATTTTCAGCGAGTGCAATATTGTTTTTCGAAAAAAGGTTAAAAATCCACCTGCTATAATGTACATATACAGTTGAATGAGGATTATGTGAACAGATGTACGACTGATGTGGTGTTTGTATGAACATAAAGGAGAAGGGACTAAGAACTGAAGATATATGTTGGAAATATGAAAAAGGTCACCGATACAAAGACCACAATTATTGGTTATCACTTATCTCTACAAATAAAAGAAACTTTGTAGATACAGGGATGCGGTGTTCGTTTAGAGAAATGTATGGGGATCTGTAGGAAATAAAATGGTTGAGCTTAGATAAAGAGAATAGCCATCGGGAAAGCATCTTCACAGTAGTATATTATACGAAGTGCTGTTAATATTATCTTGGCAATAAACTGAAATTAAATCGTATTAAATATTACCTTGGCAATACACCGAATATAAATCGTAGTAAATATTACCTTGGCAATAGACTGAATATAAATCGTAGTAAAAATTATTTTGGTAAGAGACCGAATATAAATCGTATTAAATATTACCTTGGCAATATACCGAATATAAATCGTAGTAAATATTACCTTGGCAATAGACTAAATATAAATCGTAGTAATATATTACCTTGGCAATAAAGCGAATATAAATCGTAGTAAATATTACCTTGGCAATAGACTGAATATAAATCGTAGTAAATATTACCTTGGCAATACACCGAATATAAATCGTAGTAAATATTACCTTGGCAATACACCGAATATAAATCGTAGTAAATATTACCTTGGCAATAAACCGAATATAAATCGTAGTAAATATTATTTTGGTAATAGACCGATTATAAAACGTAGTAAATATTACCTTGGTAATAGACTGAATATAAATCGTAGTAATATATTATCTTGGCAATATACCGAATATAAATCGTAGTAAATATTATTTTGGTAATAGACCGAATATAAATCGTAGTAATATATTACCTTGGCAATAGACCGAATATAAATCGTAGTAAATATTATTTTGGTAATAGACCGAATATAAATTGTAGTAATATTTTACCTTGGCAATACACCGAATATAAATCGTAGTAAATATTATTTTGGTAATAGACCGAATATAAATCGTAGTAATATTTTACCTTTGCAATACACCGAATATAAATCGTAGTAAATATTACCTTGGCAATAGACTGAATATAAATCGTAGTAAATATTACCTTGGCAATACACCGAATATAAATCGTAGTAAATATTACCTTGGCAATACACCGAATATAAATCGTAGTAAATATTACCTTGGCAATAGACTGAATATAAATCGTAGTAAATATTACTTTGGCTATAGACCGAATATAATTCGTAGTAAATATTACCTTGGCAATAGACCGAATATAAATTATAGTAATATATTATCTTGGCAATAGACCGATTATAAAAATGTATAACGACTTCTATACTCTTTAAGAAAATTCCAAAATTATTTGAGATTGCTGTCTTATAGCCACATCATGTTCAATCAACGGTCCCGTAGAATCACCGAAGTTAAGCAACGTTGAGCATGATCGGTACGTGGATTGGTGACCATTTGGAAATACTTGATGCTGTAGGCTTGAATGTGTAGATGGTGCAAATCTATAATCGCTTGGAATTGTTAATGTTCTTGCTGAATGGCACTTGCTTTTATTAATGTGATAAAAAAGCGATCGGGGATGATTTGTCCCCGTGTACGTCCCATGGCGGCTCTTATCTGTAAACTAGTGGAACTAATGAATGTATCTAGTCAGAACATTTGGCATGGAAATACCGATAGAATATCGAGAATCTTGCGATATTCTGTCCGTGGGAATAGAGTTGTAGGGTGAAAAATGATTCATCACCCACAAGGCTGTGTAGATGCTATTGAACTTAAATAAACGCGGAAAGTGGAGACTGTGCATCACCTGACTAAATGTAGTAGCAATATTGTATTTTAGGTCTGGTTTCGCTCTTGTAAAGATAGAGCAAGGCAGGAGGAGTGAGGTCCTTTCTGGAGCGGTAGGAGGAACCGACCTTTTTACCAGCCGAAATCGTGATAAAAAATTGAACAAATGAACCTTGTCAGTTTCATTCAACAAAACATGTATTAAAGAACGATTGTTGCCCCAAAACAAAACACTCTGTTTGTCAATATAATTCTCTCTGATTCTTTTTTCCCACCTCTGTGTCTCTCTCTCTCTGTTTCCCTTTCTCTATCTCTCTCTTATATATATATATATATATATATATATATATACCGATTTTTCCGCAATTGTCAATGAAGGCCTGTCTATGTTCCTATTTATCGTGACATGAAAAAATAACTCACCCACCTCCAGTTTCTGAGCATACTTTTCTATTTAGCATAGATCTGACATTTAATTGGTTAATCAAGACATACCCACAAGTCTAATCTTAATTCTGACCTTATGTTCACATCCTTTGAAATTTCGGAAAAGAGGTAACACTTTGTTTTTAAATTTCCTTAACAATTCTTTTTCATTACCAGTTATTTACCATCGCCTGAAGAAGTGCAATCAAAATATTGAAACATGAAAGCTTTTTGTGTAGCGATTTCCAAATGTTTTTATTATAATCTCTTAATAATAATAATACCTATATATATATATATATATATATATATATATATATATATATGTGTGTGTGTGTGTGTGTGTGCGCGCTTTACTGATTAAACAAACTGCAGTGTCAGTTGTTGGGTCATACACCAGACTAACTTTTATTGGTTTCTCCCTGCTATATTTAGATATCTATTTTCCTGATGAAAAGAGATTTTATGTTGCTTAGTAGAAGCCATACCAGTTTCTAAAAGCGGACAATGAACCCGTGATTGACTTTTAACCAAGAACAGCAGTAATATGTCCTTTTTGATTGAAGGAAAACTTTTTAAAATAAACAAACTTGGAGGTGTTATCTTGTGATAGGAACATCCGTTTATTTATTTCTGTTTAATGTTTGTTTCTTTGGTCAATGTTCTAGTTAATTAGTGTGGATTAGATGATAGCTATCATCAGATTGCCGTCTCGTGTTTAGTCTTGTTACTGTAGCTTGAATATTTAGTGTTCATTCATGGCATGAACACGGGAAACCGAATCATTCACCACATTGATTGAGCAAACGCCGGGGTCGAAGTGGATGAATCAGGTTCATTTGTGAGACAAGATAGCGGACGCCTGTATCATGCTCTCGTGTCTGTTAGACAATCTTTCTCACAAGTTAAATGCTAAATTTCCCCAAAGCAGTGGCTAAGGCACATGTTCCTTTACAGTTCAGTGTATGTTCAGTGGGTACCAGCGGCAGGTTTAGATACCAGTCAGAAGTCGAAAACGTGCTGGCAGTACATCGGAAGTTGTGTTCAATCGTCATATTGTTTTTTAATTACTCACCGACTGCGTCTCTTTTTCCCTTTCTCGTTTATTATACGCATTATTCCTTACGTTATTCTCCTGTTTGCTCATTGCTTTTTCATACTTGAATTCAAACAAATGAGTTGCAGTGGCGAAGGGTGACTTGGATCCAGAGCATGCAATCGCAAATATTTTGTCATATACGGCCACCGTAATATTTCGCCACTTACTGTCTGTCTGACCATGAAACACCGGTTCGAATCTCACCATGGCCGATTTTTCAGGAAGGAGACTTCCTGGTGTTATCGGAATAGATCGAGGTCGATCAAGGCGTGCGGCACCTGTGGAAAGTGCCTGAAAACCATACCACGGGTTGACCCAAGCCTTGTGAGGGAAATTGGGTAGACGGAACTCTGAGGGGCCGTCGATATTACATTACCTTGGCAATAGACCTAATATAAATCGAAGTAAATATTATTTTGGTAATAGACCGAATATAAATCGTAGTAAATATTACTTTGGCAATAGACCGAATACAAATCGTAGTAAAT